GTTCTCTTTTTTAACCCTGACAACATCCCCATAAGGTAGCTTAGAAAACTGAAGAAATTTGCACACAGTAACATTAAATAAGAGGAGGTCAAGCTAGCATTTGAATCTGTAACTTCTAACTTTAAAGTCTGTGCTTTTTCTAAACTTTGCAACATGTGTGAAGGACAACAAAGAGAAAAGCTGATGAAGGAACAGATGAAAACCACAAGGAAGAGCATTCTTGATCCTCCTGAAAACCAGCCTGGTTCCATCCTATGTTTAAACTATGTCCTAATATTTTGCAGAATTTGTTAAACATCCCAGTAAAAGAGAAATACAGTATCTTTAGACTCAATTATTTCTGCTTGTTTTGTTGCTTGGGAAACATTTTCAGAGTCAGTTAACAACAAGCCACCAAATATCCATAGCTCAGCAAGACAGTCACTGCACTAAATTCCTAAATAATAGTCCACAACCACAGAAAATGGGCAATGCAGCATAGAATAATCAAAAGCAGCTTCATATTTTCCAGATAAAACAAAGCATCGTTTGTATTGAGGCATTTTTTTTAGAAGGTACCACTGAAAGCCAGACTACAGCCTGGAATGGCTTAAAATACCAAGTTTAACAATACATCAATGCCTTTTAAACTTTAGAAGCAAACAGCTTCCTTGTACTTCAAATTCAAAGTGAAGGATTAGATGCAAAGCTAACAAATTAATTCAATACACACTCTGGCTTAACACTATCCAATGCCTTAATTAATATCATTACAGAATATTTAGCTAACCACCTGGATTTTTAACTATGGAAAGGTGAAGGTCAAATGTCTTTTAATAAATTGCTTCAAACAAAGCTTTTCTGGTGGGGGTAAAAAAAAAAGAACACAAATAATTAAGCTGAAAAGAAAAAACTAGTAAACAGTGTTATTATATCAGCATATTAAGCAACTATTCCTTAATCAGTCTGCATTTTAATTGAGGCAGTGCCACAATTAAAGTTCACTCTTCTACCCCAATTTAGAGCTACTTCCAGACCAATATCAAGCAACCGGGAGTCTAGAGGGGACTCACAAAGACAGAGGGGGACAAACACTTCCCCCATACCCCCCAGGGAGAACAGGCCTCCAATGCTTATTCTTCAAGAAAAAAATCATAACCTCCAAGGTTAAAAGAAAAAAAAAACATACTACCAAACGGAAGTTTTGTAAGATCACAGGTTTAAAATAGAATTATGTATCACTTCTTATTGTTGTTGTTATGTGCCATGGATTCAGACCCAACTCATAGCGACCCCTCCCCTTGGGTTTCCAAGGCAGTATGACTACGGAAGTAGACTACCCAACCTTCCTTCAGAGGAGTGGCTGGTGGGTTTGAACTGCATGGGGAGGTGGGGGTGGGGCAGCAAAAAAACTAACTGAGCTATATAATTGCTTTATGGATACAGCTATTATCACAAGGGGTCCTGGGTAACTGAGCTTTGTTAGTTTGAGGGGAAAAGATCTGCCCAATGTTTAAGATTAAAGCAGAGCTTCAAACCGGATGAACTTGGAGGATATTATGCTGAGTGAAATAAGTTAATCACAGAAGGACAAATATAGTATTAGTCCATGGTCAAGGAAAGGAAAGGAAAGGTTTATATATGGAAGGAAATTTTCTTTATTGGTTACCAGGGTGGGAGGGGAGGGGACAATGGAAAAAAAAAAAAAAAAAAGTATTGATCCATGTCAAAAAAAAAAGAAACTTGACAAATAAAATGAATACAGTTGCCAATTTAGAACTCCATTTGCTACAGATGTACAAACATTTGCCTGCAAACTTCCTAGGAGCTAATAGCAAAGAAACTAAAATTCAAGACAGACAAGATGAATTTCCAGAATGACATCTATTTCTCTACTTTTCATGCATACTAGGATTGAGCAGTTAAGAAAATATAATGTGAATAAAGAGACCCACATTTCTAACACTGTAAGAGAAAGGAATTATAAAACTAATGCTATAGTTTTAAATTGGAAACATTATAAATTCGTGATTTTCTATATCTATATATAGACATAGATGGATAAATGTGTGTGTGTGTGTATTTTCTAGCTTATCTGCTTGGATGGCTTGGAAACAATGGCACCCCAGTAGCAATGAGCACAACTACCAACCAGAGCTTGGTTTCTAAATATCGTTCCTCGAAATAGGAGACAAGGTTGATTTCCAGAGCTGAGGCAAGGAATATATCAAGATGACCCTGGAACAACTCATAGTGCCAGAGTAAGAAAGTGCTCAAAAAATTATGAGGGCACATCACAAGAACATAGGAACTAATTTAAAGCAGCTCACAATGGCCAAATCTACAATAATTTTTTGGGAAAAAAATGATAGCAAGAAATTAGAAAATAAATCTCCATAGAATTAAAAATTAAGTATAAAGAAACAAAAGACAACTCTTCCAGTACAATTACTGCTAATAAATGTAGAAGAACTGATGGAAAGAGAAAATCACCATTTTACAAACATTATCGAAGTAAATGTTCAAGGCCAGAAACATTGATGGGAACGAAAATTAATGGGTGACACTATGATGAGAAATAAAGCATTTGCTTAGTCTCCAAGTATCCCTCCACAAAGGGAAAAGCCTAAAAGGGAAACAGTAATACTACAGAGGTGAGCAGTCATTAGAACAATCAACCATATGAGACCAAAGTGCACCATTTGCCCAGGAATAAAGCTAAGAAGACAGGAAGGCATAAGAAAAGACGGAGGAAGAGAAGAAGTGGAAAACATATGGGGATCACAACGAGTGTCACAAAACGTGTGAACTGTTGAATGGAAAACCAGTTTGCTCTGTTAACTTTTACCCAAATCACAATAAAAATAATCACAATAATAAAACAAAGATAATGCAGAGTCTCAATCTAACCATGAGAAAACATTACACAAACTCAAAATGAGACATATCCTACAACACTGGCCAGGATTCTAAAAAGTATCAAGATCATGAAAGACAAAGAAAGCCTAAGAAATTGTTGCAGATTAAAGGAGACTAGTAGCATAGTGTCTAAGGCACTTGACTGCTAAAAGAAAGCTCATGGTTCAAACCTACCAGCCACTTCTCGGAAGGAAGGTTGGGCAATCTACTTCCATAGTGATACTGCCTGGAAAACCCAAGGTGGGGTAGCTATGAGTTGGGTCTGACTCAACAGCACACAACAACAAAATGTGAAAACTCAATGAAATGAATCCTAGATTGGATCCTTGATTACACGTTTAGTCAAATCAAGGTATGTTGATTATTACTGGTGATTGGAATGCGAAAGATGGAAACAAAGAAGAATCACCAGTAGTTAGAAAACATGGCCTTGGTGATAAAAATGACACCAGAGATCCCATGATAGAATTTTGTAAAACCAATGACTTACTTATTGCAAATACCTTTATTCAATAACATAAACGGCAGCTATGCACACGGACTTCACCAGATTGAGTACACAGTAATCAGATTGACTACATCTGTGGAAAGAGGTGATGGAGAAGCTCAATTATCAATGGCCAAAACAAGGCCAGGACTTGACTGTTGAACAGACCATCAACTGCTCATATGAAAGTTCAAAGTAAAGCTGAAGACAATTAAAACAAGTCCAAGATGGACAGATAGGTGGACAGGCTAAACAATTAGGTATGTCTAAATGGAGAGTGTATCCAAGATCATATATAGGGTTGGCAGACAATGGTCCTATA